CTGTGTTCTGGGTACATTTCTTGTTACACCATATGATACCCTTGTGTCACCCAGTAAGACTACTAAGGAACTAATTATTTTTCCCTTTATTTACATCTGCAGTTTAAAGAATAAAAGTCTGCTCATTTAATCTCAATAGTAAACATATCTCTTGTGAAAGATTTATACACTCCCAGACGTACCTTCTATACATCATCTACTAATGCTATGTAACGACACTCAAAGCAGAGTATTTTCACTTAAATTAACTCAGGCATGGCAGTATATTGTTTGGGCAAGACTAGATCTATTTAAGTGAATGAGACAAATGATAGATCTACCCATGAGCTACAGTACAACAGAGATATGGCCCTTATGGGTGAGCATCCCTCCTAAGTCAATGTCTCGCTTGACGTTCATTTTCTGTAAGTTACAAGCTTACCCTTTAGACAGCGTTATGAGAACATTCATCTTCAGCAAGATCACAAGCTTTTGACGTTATATCCACCTTGGGCAATTACAGAACCTTAATTTCTGGATATGAAAAAATGTAAGCAAGAAGTAATTGCATAACATGTATATTCACTGCTACTTTCATAATCAATAAACAGCCAAACATGGCATATATGACTGGTGTTTTAAATAATCTGTGCTTCAATGTAACAAAATCCCCTTTCAAGCCATATGGCTGTATAAGCTTTCCTTTAAAAAACTGCTTTGAGTAAAATTCATCTTTTCAAATGTTATGAGATATGGGAATACTATGTTTTATTGCCATTTAGGCTAACTGATTAAGTTAATTTATATTCATATTCACTTCCTTATCCAAATGGGAGTTCTCTGTCTTCATCCTCTCCTCCTCATCAATTTCTTATATCTAAAATAACCAGTTGGTCATTAGCTGAAAGTGATATGAACTGCAAGTTGGTGGGAAGGAGAATTATTAACATCAGTTGACCCTATGATTGAACAGGATTATATCCCTCAGCAGTGACTGTTCATTACATACCAAGAAGGAATAATGATACCTTCATATAATGTACCTGAGCACTAACACAAGATTATACAGATATGCATGGGCTAAAAATATATAAAAATATGACTTTTTTTACAGAATCTAGTTTTTTTCTACATCCATGTCTCTAAATCCACGTCTATATACAGAGCTAGAGGCATAGAGCTAAAGTGAGATAAATATCAATATCGATATAGATTTTCATGTAAAATAAAAGGCATTATTATGTAACCTGCTCATGCTTTAAATGCTTTGGACTCCTGTACCAGTTCCATCACTTACTTAATGACCTTTCTTAAGAGTTGGATCTCTGTATGCCTCAGTTTCTCGGTCTGTACAATGGCACCAGCCTCACTAGGTTAATCGGAGGATTAAGTGACAAAACATATATGAAGCACATGGACTAAGCATAAGGAATTACTGTAAAGCGTTGCCTTTCAGTAATTGCTAACATTTACTAAGCAGTTATTATAGAGTGGGGATTACTTTGAATAACAGATTAGTCATTGTCTCCATTTGACAGCTAAATTAACCTGAAGCAAGGTGAAATTATTGCCCATCACTGCACAGCTATAAAGGTGGAACATTTAAATGCTTAAGCCCAGATTCTTTGGTTCAAAAACCAGTCTAGATGATCAGGATATGATATTGCTGTGAACTCATAAAATATAGAAAAATTAGAAAACGTGAATATTCAAAATAGACTAACTGTATTACTTAGTGATAAATAGATTTAGATATTATTTCTTGAGAAAGTTTTCTCTGGGCTTACTTTTTGCAAAATGTGATTACGCTTTCAATTTTATATTTATCTTTTTAAGAAAATAATCTTTTTTAACTAAAAGGAAGAACAAGTTTACAAATCTGCCTGACCAACGGTTGTCTCCTACATGTTCACTTTTATTACCTTAATTTAGAGCAGATTTTTTCTCTTTTTCCCAATACTTTTTCAGTTAAACTACAGTTTCTATTATTGTCTAAGCAGTTATACATGAGCTCTAAAGACATAATGAATAATTAGCTTAAAATGCCAGGAATAATTTTTAAGGTTCCCAAATACAAAGGTAAAAAAATACAAGACTTATTAAAGAAAGGACACTTAAAATTTTAAACTGTTTAGAAATACACAAAAAAATCAACTTCTTTTGTCCTTATAGAAAATACTTTTACGTTGCACTATAGAATAACTTTTAAAAATAAGAAATTAGAAAAATGATGAAAACTAATATTTAGTACATTTCAAAAACATACAAATGAAGAAAAAAACCCAACTGAAGTAAAAGAATAAGATGTTAAATCAGTTAATTAACAAAATGATAAATACAAACAACTAATATAAATATGAAAAGGTAACATATTAGCGATCAAAACAATGTAAAACGGTAAAATACTATGGTTATATCAGATTAATAAAACATAAATATTTGGACTTTACTTCCGACATTGAGAATGTAAGAAAATTCTCCATTCTATGCAGTGGTATCCATATAAATGGTATAGCACCATTAATTACATTTTGATAGTGTCCTACCAGATGGAGATCTACAAATGCATCATCTACAAATGCGTACTCTCATCCAGGCCAAACCAATCCATTCACAAGTGTGGGTGTGACCAGGAGCAATGACTATGCTTCTGGACACACCCATAGCTGAAGCCAATATGGATATGTCTTTCATATATGGATACTGAGAGGCTACGGTAGTCTCTGGTCTCTGCCTGCCACACAACTGAAGATGGGGTTGAGAGAGAAGTGTGGAGTAGCCCTGGTTGGAGAAATGCCTTAGGCTGTTCTATGGAGGTTGAGAAATGTTGGACAGAGAGGAAAGTAGATAAGAGAACCAGAGAGGTGTGCAAATGGCTTTCCATTTCTTGGTAAGTCTTTCACTAAAGGCTTTTTTAAGTTTCAAGAAACTCTCGTGTCTCCTGATAACAAACAATTATATTTTGTTCAACTTGTGCATGATACATGAAACCAAAATCATAATAGAGCAAATTATTTAAAAAATTTGGTTATTTTTCAAGATTATAAGTCTTAAACTAAGTAATCTCACCTTTCATAAACTACCTTTAAGGAAGATTCAAATTGATCTTATAGATATATTCTAACAATACTTCCATAAAAATATTCTGGACAAAAATGTTAATTGCATTTTTGTTTACAAAAGTGAAAGGCAGAAAGCAACACAAATGCCAAAGAATTTAAAATTGGCTTTAATTTGAATTGTTACACACAATTTAATATTATGAAAATATTAAGGTTGTTTACAAAAAAATCAATAACATTGGTCAGTGAATAGAGAACCAAGTAAGAAGATTATAGTAGAAATAACTGTTTCCTAGCTTAACTGTAGTTTAACTGTATCATTCTGGTTTGCCTTTCACAGATCAGACACACAAATTAAAAAAAAATATTTAAAGATTTTAAAATGCAATTTTATAATTTTAAATATCATAGAAAATTACTAAGCAAGTTTTGTATTATTCGCTGGACAGATTTAATGGTACTCCACATTATTTGGTTGGTATATTTTACAAAAATATTCCAATGATTTTATGCAGTAATAGAAAATATTAAGGGCAGTTTTCAAATTCTTTCATGTAGATATTATTTAGCTTAACAACTTATATTAGTTATCTCCAATAAAATTATTTTTATTTAATTTCCCTAGATGGTCTCTATAAATACACTGAAAAACCACTTTTCTACATATGAAGTTAAAATTACCAGAATTCGAGTGTAATAGACAGTTTTGATAACCTAAAACTTTTTCTCTTTAGAAAAGAATAATGGGGCTCCAAATTCAGGATAAAAACACTTTTACAAGAAGTATTTTTATGCAAAATCTAATGACAGTCTAACTTTAGCAAATTTTCCCCTAAAATATCAGCTGATTACTAACAAATTATTCCTATGATTTCAAGATTTACTCCCATTAATATTAATATTAAATTTAGCACAAAGCAAGCAATTCCATGTTATCTAGAAACATCCCATAATAAAAAAAATTCGTCCTGATGAAGAACGGTGCCAGTTTACATCACTAATGTCTGATGCCTATCAAGTTAGTTCCGTTCTCTGTGTTACCCTAATAGGCATCCTCTATGCTATATTGCATTCACTCACGTATCATAGAAATCATAATCATTAAAATTCTCAATGGCGTTTATTTTAAATCCACTATATATAGTATGTATTTTTTGTTCTCCTATCATATCAGTATACTCTGTGAAAAGTCTGCATCCAAAGATACCAAGGTGAACACAGACCCTTTCGTGGAATACAAGCTTCCTGAACGTTGGCTTCTTGAAGAGTGAATTGAAATCGAGAGAGAGATACAGTCACTTAGGTTCATTTTCCAAACACATTACTACACTGTATTCATTTTTAAAAATTATTTAGCTATAGTAAAAATTAAATTGGTTTTAACAGTGCATGTTGAATTTCAAGATGTGCATTGCTGAATTTAGATTAGTAATTTATAATCTCCATTTTTATATTTAGTCTCATACATTTCTCATTCTCAACTTAAACATTAAAATTCTTAAAAGTGTGTATTATGCATTTTCCTGTTTCATGTTGTTTAGCAGATTTAATGATGTTATCAAAACTTAAAAGATCTCATTGTAGCCTTATTCCTTTAGAGACACTTTTTCAAAGTTCTTGATTCCACTCTAAAAGTTTGAATTACTGAAGTTGTCAAGTAAAGTTTTAGATTTCTCCCTCCTTTAAATGTATACCACAGAACCAGCTTCCTTCTCGAGCACAGATAGGTTTGGTTGAGAAAGGAAGACAGTTCAGATAGATAAAGCAATACTCCTGGGAAAAGACTATTAACATGTATAAAGGGATTTCCTTGCAGTATAAATACTAGCACGCGCCCGCCTGGTGCCTCAGAGCTCCCTGATGTATATATGCAGGTAGAACTGAATTAGCCCTGCAACAAGTAATACAATAAAACTGATTTGGGAGCAGCAGTTCTTATTTTTCTACTCGTGTGTGGGAATGAGTTGCCAATCTTTTACTTCGGCTGATACCTTTATACCTCTGAATTCTGACACTTCTGCAACTCTTCCTCTGATAATGCATCACAGCGCCGCGGAGTGTCTACCGGTCTCCAACCACACCACCAACGTGATGACCACAGGTACGACCCCTGTGACCCTTCCATGCGCTGGGCCGAAGGAGTTCAGAAGGGACGCTTTGAATCTCTTAGTCAATAATCCCTATGTTTGGTTCATTTTTCCCCTTCAATTTAATTGGTTTTAAATTAAATGTTAATAATATTAAAGAAGCCAAAATGCCTAAAAATTTAAAAAAAATATTAATAAGGGAAATCATGTAGATGGTTATTGGTCTTACCATAATAAAAACTCTTTTCTATGTAACAAAACATTAAACTTAATGGAAATATTTATGGGTAAGTAATAAATTCAAATAAATATTCTAAAATAGTTTGAAGTTTAATAGGTTGACTTCTTTATATTAAAGATTTATTTGATTTTTTATTACAGTTCCTAGTGTCTAAAAATAGAATATATAAAACTTATAATAAATACACCAAAGTAATGCTCAATACCAATCAAAATGAATTTTAAAGAACATAATCATTAAGTTTCAATAAACATTTTAGCATAATGTTAAATTTAGAGGCAAAACTAATGAACTCAGGATTGCATTCTGAAGAGACTAATCTGTAAAAACAAGATTTTATGTTTGCTTCAGTTAACTTTCTTAAATAAAAATTAGATTTCAACATTCAGAATTATTGTCTGAACACAATGAAACAAATGCATATTTTATAATACATTCATTCTTTATACAGTAACAAATTATTCCGGTTGATTTATAAATGGATAAAGCCTTTCAGAAAAATTCTTCCATTAAATAGCAGCATATTATTCACTTTCTATTTGTTTTAAATGCAATACTTAGAAAGGGCATAAAATTTTATACAATCAGAAATCAAAGTTTGGGTTTATACCTTCATATTCTGGTTGAATATATTTAACATCTATTTTACATTAAAATTAGACATTTTCAAACATTGAAGATTCTAAACATTAGCTATTTGGGCTTTTGGAAAACCATTCAGTGTAGAGATTCTTTTTTCATCTACTAAAGAATCCTATGATTATATTAAGCAAGTATATTTGAAGTATCTCAACATAGTTTTCAAACATACTAACAATGCGTTTCAATAAAATATACAGTATAAGTGAATCTTAAGAACTATTGCATAGCTAATGACATATTTGCATTATATATCTATATATTTGGGATAGAGTGATACATTGTTTCTTTAATCTGCTGTGTATAAAGAAAACCAGTAATGAAGTAAAATTTAGAATTGAGGTAAAGGTCTAACAAAGAAGTATATTTTACAACTCAAAATACTTCTTTCACAATAAATAACAATGTATTTACTAACTAGTCTATTATTTACCCAACTTTGTAAAATCAGAAAAACAAAAATTATTTAAATCTTGGGAGCAAAAAAGAAATCAACAGCAAAAATAACCTTCAAGTATTTTAAACTGACCTGTACTTCCCTACAAAATTATAATTATATACACCTAATTGTCAAAGAAATAAGGGAAATGCTGTTTTAATTAGAACACTTGGGTATTAAATGTTTCAACATTCATTTGTTTAATTTTTAAATGAACAGTAGTATTTTTGTATGTAATTGTTATATCACAAAATCAATTCTTTCAGTGTCTGTTAGAAAGTGAAAACTTATGCAGATTTTTAAAAATTAAATATTATTCTATACTGAGGCAAAACACATTTTTCTTAATGAATACATTTCATGTCTTAAACATTACATTATATCTCACAATTGTAAAAGGATCCTAATTCTATACTATACAATATCTAATACAAGAAGATAGATTTACATTATCCCTATGACAACCTACCACTGTATTCAGAATATAAAGGAAAGGGATAAAATAAAATACAAGACTAGCAGCTTTCCTGTCAACAGCTCCTGCTCTGAATCACTTGATTTCTTCTCAAAACTTGATAAAGTTTAGTAATTCAAATTTTCTTTCAAATTACACAGTGATGCCGTGAAGCACATAAAGTATCAATGAGATTATTTGTATACACAGCTCTACATATTCTTATTCATTGATGAATTTATTGTTTGAACTTTACTATCAGAATCATTGCCATATGCATTCAGAACACATACAACCTCATGGAATCAGCCTCAGCATAAACACCGAACAGTGTCCCTAGGTTTTCATAACACCCTGAAGGGAATGAGATTGTTATGATTGTACCCATATTAGAACAGTTCCCAAAACTGTTAGAGGTTTGTTAGGATCATAAGCATAAATAGAGAATTTGAGTCACTTTCAGTATTCTTCCAGAGAAAAACCTCTTTATGATACTATGCAATGTAAGAATATTAAGAGGTTATTCTCTAGTCAGATTTTTATGATGTCTATAATGGTTGGAACCTACAAGGATTTAGCAGTTATCAAATAGCCACAATCCAAACTGGCCAGCCAGACCTTCATGGGGCACTTGTAGCCGTCACACAGACGATGGGATAACTAATGAAGGGCAGAGTCCTCTTTGAGACAAAGTTGGACCCCTCGTTTATGTACTCACTAAAACTTTTCCCAATTAAAAAAAAAAATGATTGGCATTAAACTTTAAGGCTCACATAAATGTATGTCTTTGAAATGAACTCAGTGTGTCTTGAATCCTCAGACATTTTCTTACCAGTCCCATGTATTTTGTCTTTGATCCGAACTCCTAAATATTTGCACGTATATTTCCCGGTGACCACGTTGGGAAACCCAGCAACGGGACTACATTATTCTGTGCCTTCTTGCCACTATGGAAGCCAGCCATCAACCTATGGAGTGATGGCAGGTAAGAAAACTTAACTTTCTGTATGGTGTTGAATTTGGGGACACTTTGATGGATTTTCTGGAGCAGAGTATGATGTCAAACTGTAATGTCTTAACCCTGGAAATTACTGGTCAAAACCATCACTCACTGCGATGTTTCCTCATCTGTAAGGCTGCCGGAGAACAAAAGGATTAACCTGATTTTCTTATTTTATACATTTCACAACTGTGGTACTACTGAAAACCTCCTGTTGGTTCTGTGTGATTTTTTGTTTGAATTCAGTACTGTCAAACTGCTGGTTCCCACTTGATGTTATTGTGGGCTTGCTTTCAGTAATAGTGTGGTAGCAACCAACTTCATGTAGCTATGTAAATTTAAATGTAAATTAGCTAAAGTAAAGGTTAAAATGTAGTTCTGCACTTGCACTCACGTAAAGTGCTCAGCAACCTCCCGTGGCCGGTGGCTATCATGTTAAACACGACATATGTATGGAACGTATCACCTTCATTACAGTATTTCTTTTGAATATTTTGTCTATAAAAATAAATAAGATACTGACTGAGGCTGAGAGATTTGCAGGGGCTTTAGTGATAGCTATTTTAAGCTTTAGCAGCCCTTTCTGAGTTGCTTCTGAGTCTTAACTAAGATTGAAATAAACGAAATTACATATTTTTTTCTTCAGGGTAAGTCAAGTATCACTAATTCCAGTATAGCTATCGAATTGCCAATACTTAAATGAATACATCAATATTATATTTTTTTTAAAATTGGGCAAATCAGGGCCATGAGATATAGTCATGACAAAATTATTACTTAATTTCAAGGAGTGGCCAGATATAAGATTTTAATGGCTTAATAAATTGTACAACTTCTGCAGATTTCTTCTTCAGCTTTGCTTTAAAGAAATTCTTTGATTTCTTTATTATTACATCAGAAAAGGAATTCTTATCAGTGGGATTAAACTAAGATTTAGAGTATGTGTGTGTGTCTGTGTATGTGTGTGATATTGTCACAGAAATTTTGTATAAAGGAATCACATGTTAGGGAAATCTTTTCTAACTTGTACCTTCCAGATAAACAATGAAACAAACAGAAATATAGATTTAGGCCTACAATTTTGAAATGAAAACAGTTTAACTCACTAATCTTTAATTTCTCAAATTTTCTCAGCTTAAAGACTCAATAAACATTGAAACTTTAAAATATTTTGATAATTTTAGTTTCTCTTACATTTTGTCAAGAAGCTACTCTGAATAAACCAATATCATCTTTTTTTAGCAAAAGGAAGACTCTTTATCACCGACTGTAAGGTTTGGCTTCTCCTTTAATAATTAACAAATAAGGAAGACAAATTTATTCTTCTTTGCAAACTGATCACTTACGACTCATTAATTAATCAGTGTTCATAGTTAATGAGAACAGCCTTTCTCAGTGATGAACTACTTTCATTAGAAAAAGTAAAATATATGCACACAGCTACTGGAGGTGCAACGGGAAGGCTTTCTTTATCCTTTATAATATTTTGATTATGTACATAGGAAATGGCAAGCATGTGGCCCTACGCTGCCCTCTTCTGCAGGGGAGGTATTCATAGGATTCCCAGGAACCGAGGTATAGCTTTAGTTTCTCTTTTAATTCGCAGAGCCAGTCCCTACCACCTGATCGCAGAAATTGTAAAGATAAAACCGATCACAGACCAGTGGCCAGTAATTTTTACCCTAATACCTTCAGATGGCTTCTACTGCTCCTGCCCTGCCTATTAAGACAAGGGGAGTTTACAGCTGGACTCAGCATTCTGCCATCCACCCATTCCCAAGGTGGGAGCCCAGATTCACACTGAGATTCAATGGGCAGCGCAGGTCCTGCTGACACATCCCTCGAGAAGGCACTTAGAAAACACCCTTTCTTTGACATCTTCCACTGCACTTAAAAGGAAAGGCTCCTGGAAAGACTTTTAACAGGATTCAAAGTCTGGCTTAGTGACATTAAGAGCAAAATTTTTATAGCTAGGTTTGGAGATATCATTGTAGACCTAACATTAAATACGTTTTATCACTGAAAGAAAACCCATGGCAAACATAGAGATTGTATTTGAATATTTTGAGTGAGGTATCATTAATATGTGATATGCATTATAATACATCAGAATATCCATACTTTGACGTATATATCAGCATTAGCATTTGCTTCATGGCATATTAAATCTTAGAGAACCTGAATTTGCCTGCCTTCATCCCCAGAGAAGCCACACAGATTGAGTTATAAAATACAGAACTCAGAATACAAGCAAGAAGTATAAAATACACAGTAGAAAACGGGTCATGTCATTTGAATATTCTGAGAAGTCTCAAGGCAATAATCAAATCAGCCACATGCACGCAGTCCACACAAGCACCTTATCAACCACAGAACGGGATCAGCGTCAGGTCCTGTGTACTAAAGCAAAGCTACAAAAGGAACCACATTTCCGAGTAGGTGAAATTACTATTTTATTTTATTTTTTTTCAAGTATACATACAAATCATTTGATTTGAAATTACTATTTTTATATGGTGAGTTTATTGCTCATACTCTGATGCTTTAGTCAGAGCATTTTATTAGGTCATTCCACAAGGAGTTATAGCTAATGTTTTGTCAGGTTGGTATGGAAGATTTTAAACCATCAAGTCCACTTCCCTTCAGAGTCCAGACCTAAGCAAATAAGGAATAATTGGAAGGTAGCAAGGAATTAGCCATACCATTAAGTAATTGCTAACCTTGTTCTAGCTACTTAGCACTCTGAACATTTATCTTTTTAGTGGAAAGTGAATAATCAAAGGTTATTGTAATTTGAAAATAGCTGGCTTTCCACCAGAGCCAGTGCAAAAGGCAGAAGCAAGCACTTTGGAAGCTGATACGGAGAAATAGTGTTCCTTTGAGCATGTCTTTTTTCCTCTCCCCTCCCCTGTCATTTTTCCCTTTATTGTTTTTGTCCTATCTTTTCTTTCTTTCGTACTCTGCTTTCCTTCCTCCCTCATTGTCTTCTTTTCCTTCTTGCATTCCCCCTCCCTCTTTCTGAGTTTGACTTGGCCCAAATTGTGCTGGACATATTAAATAAGACGGGAAGAGTCATTGTGAACATCTTTTGCCTCTGAGTCATGTGAAGTCTTTAAGTAGCAGTAATATGCTAGATTTTCTCTTCTAGAGAAGTTGATAACCTTTCTGTGGAAAGAATCGCACCGTAAAAATCTTAAGCTTTCGGGTCTCTGCTGCAGCTACTTCCACTGTGTCTTTGCAGCAAGAGAGTTGTCACAGGGGTGGCTGTGTTCCAATTAGATGATAGATTACAGAAACAGGCAGCAGACCCCTGCTACACATTCATGAGATTTACCTACCCCAAGATGTGCACAGATCACTATTTCAATATTAATAATTTGGCCTGACACAATAGGACAGGCCTGTAATTCTAGCACTCTGGGAGGCTGAGGCAGGAGAACTGTAACTTAGCCTGGGTGACTTAGCAAGACCCTGTCAGGAGGAGAAAGAAAGAAAAGAAAGAAAAGAAAGAAAGAAAGAAAGAAAGAAAGAAAGAAAGAAAGAAAGAAAGAAAGAAAGAAAGAAGAAAGGAAGGGAGAGAGAAAGAAGAAAGGAAGAAAGAAAGAAAGAAAGAAAGAAAGAAAGAAAGAAAAAGAAAGAAAGAAAGAAAGAAAGAAAAAGAAAGAAAGAAAGAAAGAAAGAAAGAAAGAAGAAAGGAAGGGAGAGAGAAAGAAGAAAGGAAGGGAGAGAGAGAAAGAGAGCAAGAAAAAGCATGAGAAAGAAACAGAAAAAAAGAGAGAGAAAGGAAGAGGAGAAAGAAGAAAGAAAAAGAAAGGAAAATAAATTAAGAGATGGAGATATGGCTCTGTGGAAAGGCCCTGGGCATAATCCTTAGTAGTACAAAAATAAACAAAGACCAGTTATAATTTGTTCTAATTTGTCATATGTGGGAAAAAGGAGGAAATAAATGGAAGAATTCAAATTCATATTCCTGCATGTCTCCAGAAAGGCAGTGTAACTGCTGTGTCCCTCTGCCCCCAACCCCTCCAATTTGTTCTTCTTGGGCCCCAAGCCCATAACCCGAGATGCTATGAGCTACCACATGCTGGGGAAGGGCAGATTGCCCTACGCCACGGTGCAAAGTCAGCACCTTGGTCACAAAGCTGTCCTCTGTCCTGCACTAGCCACTTTGAAAGACTTACTCTGTTCTGTCACCTCTGCTGTGCAGAGACACACAGAGAGATTGAGAAAGGCTGTGGTGGGCCCATCTGCAATGGGAAAATATATTGGAGACCGTAGAGGGCATGCAAATGCTTCTAAGCTAGTAATTAAATGTGTCTTTGTCTAGGACCAAGGAAATATTTGTCTATCAACATTTTGGACAAGGTGTGAGATCCCTACTCTGTGTGATCTGCCATAGTTTTCCTTATTCAGTAATCCATGCTTTAAAAAGGTTTGAACAGTATCTTCTCATATATTGCACCAGTCACTTCCAAGACTCCCCTAAATCCAGAACCATACAATGGAATCAGTGTTTTGTTTGGCTTTGCTTACAATTGCTATGGTGAATTTCTGTGTAAGTTTAGTTCTAGGAGAACTGGGATTCTGCACATAATCCTGGATGCTTTCACATAACAAAAAAGTGAAACTGTATTGCGGATCAAGTTCTCATTTCTCTGAATGTCAAATCTTGGAAGATGGTATTTCTTGGGCACTTTTAATAGATTCTTTCCTAACTTACTTTTTAAATGTCTAAAGCACCTTTACATTTTCATGGAGGACACGTTGCTAACATTCTTGTGGGGTTTCTCTTTTTCTTTTATTTTAAGGATAAAAGAACAGAAACACATTAACAAACAAACAGACATAAACAAAGCATCACCCAACAATAGGAACAATACAGAATTTCAGACAAGGTGATAGGAAATTAACGATTGCTATTGTATTACATATTGATATCTTCAAATTGGTTACTCAGTTAAACAAATTAGGTATGTAAGATTGATCAAACAATTAAACATTAACTGTTCCTTTCAATAAAACAATAGAAGTCAGTAGTACAACATTCTTGAATAATTACATTATTGTTTGAAAGTGTTTAACATATGTTTAAATACAGAAAAACCTTTACAGAAAAGTCATTTCATTTACCTAACTACACTCAAAATAAGCTATGTGAGTCCTTTGATGTTGGTTATTCTAATGCCTGGTGGACTTCAGTTCTAGGTACTGCTGCATTAAGTCATCATAGAACTGGAGCACAGTTATTTAAATTCTATGCAAATTTCTAGTTGTAAATTGTGAAGCAAATACAATAGTACATACTTTCCTAACTCATTTCATTATATGAGGATAAGGTACATGGCATCTGAAATGAACATGAAGAGTCTCATAGCCGACTTGTAGTAGCAGTACATGATTATGACCAGCAAGACAAAAATAACGATCAATGATCAATGTTGCTAACAGATTCAGACCTTATAGTCTACAATGTGAAAGATATACAACAGTTTAACTGGATAATTTGGTTTGGTAAAAGTAGCATTTTGCAGGACAAAACTAGTTTATATGAAATCTTCACACTTGTATAACAGCTATGTTGGTTTAATCTCTTACTCCTGTGTTTCCTTTTTTTTTAGAAAAATAATGTATTCTACTAACTGGGGGTACACTATCTAATCACATATTCTCCTATAAATAATGTAAGCCAATCATTTGCTGACTTACACTATTTTTGCTCATTACAAATTGATATATTAATGAAAGATTTGTATGGTACATTATTATTCATGTCTTTGATTCGTGAATGTATTTATGGATTTATTCATATTTTTACAGGAAACGTGAACTCGATGTATTTTTCAGTAAGTTTCAAAGAATACTTCCATATATTCTATAATAATTGGTTCTTAAGTATTTATTTATACTCATAAGATGATTACTAAATATTTATATATCAAAATGCTTCATTATTCACACCACTCAATATAAATTAAAAGGAAATCTTTGTCAGTGAAATTTATATCCATGAAGAAAATTAAAAGAAATATGTTGCAGTTTGATTTATGTCTTACCCTCTCACCTGTACTTCTAAACTAACATAGATACTTATTGCCTAATGAAGAATGACACCTGACAACACTTTTTTAAAAAATTAGAGTATTTTACTTTTGGGGGATTTATCGTTTAAGCCACTTAAATCAATGCTTCATCACTTATTGGTGATTGCCTATCATACATAGAATTGTAACTTCCCTTGCCATTTATTTTTGCTTTTCCATAAATAATAATATAAAATTCTATAGTACTGTATATTCTCAAGAAATCTTTTTGTGAGCATTATAATAGAACTTTTAAAGTTAATTTTGTTATTATATTCATTCAAAACTATTTCACCATACTAGTATATTTTAATATATCATGACTTTTTACCTGTCTTTAAATTTCAAAAGATATTATTTCCCAACTGAAATTTAGCATTTACTGATGAATCAGTGGGACTTTTTAATTTTGCAAGACCAATTTTCTAATCACTACTCCTATAATCCTAGCAGTCGGGAGGATAAGGTAGGGTGATTGCTGTGAGTTCAAGGCCAACCCAAACTGCATAGCAAAACCCTGTCTCAAAAACAAAACAAAAAAAATTTTTCCCAGTCACAAGAATGCTAACCAGCACAGCTCCTAGTGGAAACCAGTGCCTTTGCTTTTGCAAATACTAATGATCACTTATTCAATGAATCAAGGAACCAGAGATCCACCCATATATTCTGGTTAGAGCTGAACCTCAGACTCCTAACAGGTGTCTTTTGAAAGAGAAAGTGGTGGCAATCTTAATCCTTTTGAGAGAATTTTAAAATATTTTAATTTTTTGCAGATTGTTGCTCCTTTCCTTTGACATTATCTTTGCGCTGGTCTGAAGAAGGTGGAAGATAAATAATCCCACTTCTACTAAATTACGGACTCCTCTTTTGGAAGATTCACTCTTTTTTTTTTTTTTTCTGGTACCGGGAATCGAACTCACGACCTCGCACTTGCCAGGCAGGCACTGTGCTGCTGAGCTAAATCCCCAGCCCTGTAAGATTAACTTTTAAGGATTGAGATTGGCTATGGGAGAGTATAGGCTCTACCAGGCAAAACCCTCGCTTCCATAGAAATGCGGGACAATTACAAATGGTGTTTCCTTTTCTCTTTACCACAGGCGGGTTAACCCCGTGTCTTTACAAGTTTCCGGACCACAGCCTGAGTCATGGATTTCCTCCGCTACACCAGCCCCTGCTGGCGGAAGACCCCACAACCTCGGAATTCAAGCAGGAACTCAGGAGGAAAAGTAAATTGGTTGAAGAGCCAATAGATATGGATTCTCCAGAAATCCGAGAACTTGAAAAGTTTGCCAATGAATTTAAAATGAGAAGAATCAAGTTAGGTACGCATTTATTAGGAGCAATACAGCAAACAACTTAGTTTGCAAAATCCTTCCTATATTATCGTGAAGTTTTTTACACTTTGTTTAAAAATCTAAGTTCTCATTCTGTATATGTTGTGGATTTAGTCGTTATGAAAATCTACAGAAACTTATCTCCTTATAAATTTTTAATAGCCTAAAGACATGGTTTTTTTTGTTTGTTTGTTTTTCTTCCGTACCAGGAATCGAACTCACGACCTTGGGCTTGCCAGGCAGGTGCTGTGCTGCTGAACTAAATCCCCAGCCCCAACACATGGATTTTAAAATTAATAGCACTTGAAAATTTTACCTACCTCAAGATTAATTCTTGCCTGTCCCTCTTATCTATATTTTAACTTCTGAATATATAATGCATTAATGTGATACAAAAATACGAAAGGGTGTGTCATGTATCCCTTCTGTTTGTACTTCCTGTTTACTAACATTAGTTTGTTCTTTCCAAAGCTGTCTTATACATATGCAAACAAATACATATATTCTTTTACACAGATATATTTGGGAAAACTTTCACTTTTCCTTGTTTTTAACATTTATTTATGTAGCGGAACCCAAGTCCTAAGCATCCTTGGCAAATGCTCTTCCGCCGAGCCCACCTCAACCTGTTTTTCTTTTCTTGTAGAGTTGTGCAAACTTTATGTAATGAACACATTGTAATTTAACCAGTGCTCTACTGATAGAAATTTCAGTGGTTTCTAATCTTCTGTTATTAAAAATACCATAATGAACATTGTCAGTCATTTTGCCCCTATATAAACATATATACAGGAAAAATATTAGAAGCAGAATTGTTGATCAAAGACTATGGATGTTTAAAAAAAAAGACTATGGATGTTTATAATTTTGATAGATGTTGCTTAACTGCCTTCTATAGAATTTATATCAATTTTCACTTCCAAGAACATCTCTTTCACTACCTTCAAAACATAGGGAATAAGTTTTGGGGGGTTGTTTTTGCTTACTCATTTATTTTCTTTTTTCTTTAATGATATATCTCTAACACTAAGATCAGATGAGATCGGGCCCATTCAGGGTAGCACAGCTGTAGACTCCAACACAAAAAACAGTACTTGAAATATGAAATAAATAGAAGTTGAAAGAAAAAGCACTATAAATCTTTTGGGTCTTTGAAATCAAATAAGTGAAAGTGGCACCTTATTGAAATTTCATTTAAAATTTTTCCAAGTATGAGAAAGAAGTATACTTCCTTGGGTTTAACAGTATTTGTATTTCGGGGGCTGGGGATTTAGCTCAGCGGCAAAGCGCCTGCCTGGCAAGCGCAAGGTCGTGAGTTCGGTTCCCGGTACCGGAGAAAAAACAAACAAACAAAAAAAAAAAAAAAAAAAAAAACACAAAAAAACAGTATTTGTATTTCCTCTTCTGTGAACTCTCAATTCAGAGCCATTGCTTATTTTCTGTTGGAAAATGTTTTAATATAAAAATCACTATAACAATTAACTTTGGATAAAATTCACATAGTGTATTTTTTGAAAAATTATAATTCAAACCTTTCCACTTGTAATGAACATTTTATATTCATATTTACTGATGGGTATCACATGTAATAATTTTATAACTATAGTACATAGCCTTAGGCTCTGAAATAATACGTAACTGCTATATGCAATAAACAGAGCAGTAGGCAGAATACTCATTTCAGTTTTCTATTTATATTACTGTGTTTCAAATGATATGCTGATGGCTTATTTAAGCTTATACTCTAGAAATGTTTATGACAATGAATAAAGCTCTTTTGCCTGGGGGTAGAAGCATCACCAAATAATGTAACAAATGTGCTCAGAGGTATGGATAAATTTGTGATCACAGCCTCATAACATGCTTTCAGAGAAACTTGTAGGTCTATTTGTACCTCTCAACAAGTTAGAATTTTCACTTATCTTTTAAATAGGAAATGGTATATCACCATATATTTTATGTATTACCATTGACATATTAAAAATGATAGAGCATATATCATCAGATATTTAATAATGACAAAAATAGGAATTTTAAGCATCTTATAAAGTATTTATGACATATCTATGCAACGACTAAATATTATGATCTGAGTTCTTTTGACTTCTAAAAAAATGCAATTTATTAACTTCAAAAAAATATTTTTTGATGCCCAGGATTATCCTACGCTAAACATTACTAAACAATTTTAAATTGCTCAAAACATATAATTTTAAAAGTATTTAACAGTTGAGAACAATACACAGATTTGAGTGACGGTGGATCAAAACGATGCTCCTTAAAAGCTAGAACTAGCGATCTCTGTTGTCTCTTCACAGGATACACCCAGACAAATGTTGGTGAAGCCCTGGCAGCAGTTCACGGCTCTGAGTTCAGTCAAACAACGATCTGCCGATTTGAAAACCTGCAGCTCAGCTTTAAAAACGCATGCAAGCTGAAAGCAATACTGTCCAAGTGGCTTGAGGAAGCCGAGCAAGTAGGAGGTACTGAACTGCCTCTGAAGGTTATGCCACAGTTTAACCTAAACATAATGACTGCATTTGGCAGGACTGAGGATAAAGAGGTTTGAGGGTTTTTATATCCATTTTCTCCTTGTGATGAAAAATAAACATTTTCTTACATTATACTAAAAACAAAAAAAGGGCAATGAAATGCACATGTAGAAACACGTTTGACAGAAAATAAACTATATAAAGAAAACTTCTAAATTAACTCAGTAAGTAGTGCAAAACTATTTTAACATACCTAGATTTTTTTGCCTCTTGCTATACTGGAGTAACAGCATGAACCAGTTTCACAAACTAGTATTAGTTTACAGACAGCATTTGTACACACCAATCTTACAAGCAACTGGTAGATGAGCGATTCAGTACAATAAAATTACATGCTCATTCGAATACTAAGGCTGGATAACAGCCTGGTTTGAGAGCATTTAAAGCAAATGTTCTAACAAAAGGTGAGAATATGATTTGCAGAAAGATGTTGCAAAATTAATATTTGTGCCTTAACATGTTTCCACGGAGTGTAACATACAATGAACTAGACTGCAAAAATTTAAGAGAAAACTACACGGTAATTTTATTTGCATTGTTTATACAGAAAACTTGATACCCCAAAATTATCCCTTTTGCACATTCCAGCTTTGTACAATGAAAAAGTGGGAGCAAACGAAAGGAAAAGGAAACGCAGAACAACTATAAGGTATTCTTTTCAGATACTAAAGTAGAGACAAAAGAGGAAGATATTTGCAAATGCAATCAGCATTTGGGTATAATACAGGTGCAATGTGACAATGTAAAGGGAATAAAGTCAACTGAAGAAACAAGATAAGCTAAAAATATAATTTAAAAAATTAAAGTGAGAAATGGAGTAGTGATTTTAAATGTTAGATAGAAATATGTTGCTTGATTCAAAAACATTTTTGCTTCAGAAGTGTAAAGGAAAAATGAAAATCAAATAATCACTGCTAAGACAGCAGTCAACTCTGCTGTCCTTTTCACTGTACGTTATCGCTCGCAAGATGGTGTCCATTTTACTAAAAATGACAAACCTCATCAGTATTTTTGTCTCTTAAAGTCAAACATGACCTCTTGCATTTCGACCCAGAAAGGTTGTTCATTTATCTTTTGTTTTTATGAGGTACACTTAGGAAATGCCACAACCCAGGTTTTAATTAGTTGGTCAATTGTCCACTAGACATTTCATATACTTTCAAAAACTGGGGTGATATTTACACCTACATGTGTTTAATTCCTTTTACAAGAATTTACTGCCCTCTTGTGGCACAAAATTGGATAAACATAAGAAGCATAAGTTCCTCTACTTATTTTTCCTGCACCTTGGTAGTGTTACTGCAAGTAAGACTTTTAGCAAATTGCATATTCATCTTTTGAAAGTATTTTCATAATCCTTATTCTTCACATCAATATTTAGAACACTCAAATTAATTTTGTTCTGCCCAAGCTTTACTAAAATAACATAACCTCACCTCATCCCACCCCTACAGTATTGCAGCAAAAGATGCTCTGGAGAGACACTTTGGAGAACAGAATAAACCTTCCTCTCAGGAGATCATGCGGATGGCTGAAGAACTGAATCTTGAAAAAGAAGTAGTAAGAGTTTGGTTTTGCAACCGAAGGCAGAGAGAAAAACGGGTGAAAACAAGTTTGAATCAAAGTCTGTTTTCTATTTCTAAGGAGCATCTGGAGTGCAGATAAAATTTTCTATCGCATAGTAGCCATTTTCCCCACTGTTTTTCCTACCTTTTTCTTCTCCAACAAAAGCGAAGAAGTTCCTTGGCTGGATTTAAAAAAAAATTTATACAATAACTTCTAGTATAACTGTTTTTATTTTAAAAATCCAAGTTTAAATTATATTATTTTAAAAGTAATTATTCTCAGAAGCCAGAGTATATTTTAAGCCAAAGATACTAAATGGAGAAAACCCGTGCACCTCCCCTACCCCACCCCTACCCTCAAACACAAGCATGATATGCACGTGGAGCTTTTAGTTTAAAATTCCTTTTCTACAGCCATTTTTAAAACACTTTAATCAGTAATTTAATGTAATTAAGGAATGTCACAAGGTAGATTCGATTAGAACTCTCATTAATCAATGTTCTGCCTATCATTAACTCTAATAGTTTGCTTGTGTTAAAAGTTTTGAACTTGGAGGTGTCTTAGAATTTTATTATTAGAACTCTAATCATCAGAATTGATACCTTTGAAGTTACTATTCAGGACACAGAGCCCATGGTACTTCAAGAGATCTGCGAAAACCCTTCTGTATAACCTGTTTCTTCTCCAGTATTAGCTTTTTGATGTTTAGCTATAGAAAATATGTAGGCTGGATGTATCAGCCAAGTGCTTGTGAGCATGTACCAGGCCTCGGATTAAATGCCCCGCACTAAAATGAATACATAAATAAATAAAAAATAAATCATGATCCATTATAAATAATAATAAATAATAAATAAATTATTCATGTGCCCGAAACTATTAGTTAATAAGCTGCAACAGAGGAAAACAACTGGATTGTCTGCTGTTAGTTCTCCAAGGTGGAGGAGTTTCCACTCACTGCAGACATGCACAGTTAAAACTATGTTTTAAAACACAGTTTACTTTTAAAATCGCAAAATCTAAAACATTATTTTGGTGATACATCAAAATATAAATATTCTCCAGATATATAGAAGGATATAGATATATATCTATAAATCTATCTATATAGATATACATAGCACTTTTGGTAGAACTGGTTAAAATCTGAATAAAAAAATTGATATACTGAACTTGTCAATTCTAGGAATTGTTTTCAAGGAGAGGTGTAAGAATGAACTTTCAAATTTTCAAGTAGAAACACACTGTAAAACTGGAACAGCATAATTTTGCAAGTTGAATATAAGTCTGGTGGGGATGTTTATCTAATTTATATAACAAAGTGAAAAAACTTCAGCCAAATTTTCCTTTATAATTACGCTCAAATCTCCTTTTTTATAATAATTGAATACCTGGCATAAGACGGGTCACATTCTATGAGGGTCACGTATGTATACGTATGCAAAACTAGCAGTTTTGACTACTAATAATCACAGATGTTACAAATAAAAAGACAGCTTTCCATGGCACGATGATCTGTGCCAAAGCACACATTCAACACCCAAGAAGTGTTACTTTTATTCAAGAGTACATTTTAAATTATCTGCCCATGTGGGTGTTTATGAGTTTTTTCCTCTGCTTCAAACACACACTGAGGAATTCTTTAGTTTGCAGTAAGCAGGGTCAGTATATCCATAGCTATATGCACTCTGAAGCAGGTAAACAGGAGCAAAATATAATGCAATGTAAGTCTAGCTTAGTGATATTGTATTTTAAATATGAATAGTTTAATATTTAATACAACCTGACTATATGTAATACACACACACACACGCATGTGCTTAGATCACCATCAGTATAAATATATATATGCTTAGATCAAAGCATACTTTTATCCAAAGCTCATTTTTCCAAGTTTACACACAATCAGCACTGGGAATCATCTTTTTCCCTAAAATGAATGCTTATGCTGCAATAACAATTACCTACTCTTCTAAATATTCATATGCTACTTATAAATGCAGTGATTTCAATGTAAATCTACTTGTATTAGTGAATCTTCAAAGTATTTTTCTAACTATGTAGACATTCTTCTATATATTGATGGACCTTTTAAAACAACAGAAAAGGATTAATGTAATTTAGAATCCTACACTGCAATTAAGCAAATACCAAATGTCATTTAATGCATATCAACATTTCATACTTTTGAAAATATCCATCAAAGACTGACTTCAGCCGTAGAATATTCCATTTTATGTCCTTGTGAGTTGTTCAGTAGCATGTCTTCAAGAACTCGGTAGACTCATTTTTTTTGAATGAGTAGACTCATTCAAAGAAATAAAAAGATTTCTTTCTCACTTATACTGATCAGGTATGAAACTCTACCTAGTAGAGGCAATGACAAACTCATTTGTATAATTTACCTTCCCATTTCTAATGCTGAAAGGTATCTGTCTAGTCAAAGAAATGTTTTTAATATCAGGGAGTGGGAAAATGCCTGTGTTTTCAAATTTTTGGTGGGTGGTGGGGTATGTATAGGGTACCTGAAATCATACTTGACAATCCTGAGGCTACCTTTAAAGCAAATTCAATCCAACTGATGCTGGCACTAAGTAGAGGAATGGATTTTGAATCCCCTTGCAAACTCAGCTTCCATAGAGATGAAACTGATCTTCTGCCACTGAAAAATCTTTCCATACAGAGTAATGGCATCAAAGAGAAAATCATAGTATCTTTTCAGACAAGGACCAAACTTGTTCTAACATAGGAGTCCCAAAAGCAGCTCATATTTAAGTTAGGCCCACACTGAACAGGCAAGAAGTGTTGCAGCTGGGCTTGGGGAATGCACATGTGGTCGAAGTTCCCTACGGACATGCCAAAGGAACTAAGCAAATATACTCCACTGCATAGTTCAAATAACAGAAAGGCCCCAGATCACGAGCTTCCCGGTCACTGTCCTGGGCCCCTTTCCACTAGCCACTGCACAACCAGGTGCTCCCCTTACAGAGCAAAGCGCAGAGTGTTCGGAAAGATCACCTGCCAAGAGGCTCTTCCTCATACCAGGTGACACCATTCCTATCATCCACACTGCATGCTGATGGTGTGCAAACTTGAAAAATGGCCTTATGGATAGAAGTATGGCTATCATCTAAGCACAGATATGTTTATACTGATGGTGATCTAAATATATGCATGTGTGTGTATATATATATATGAATGTAGTACATATATATATACACACACACACGTCAATTTTTTACACATTATGCTCCTAAATATCACCACACTTTACTTCTGATGTTCTGAAGCCTCCTCTAGCCATGACTTCTACATCTGGTAACGAACTATGACACTGGACTGCTTTTTCAGTGCTAGAGATATTGCCCTGCCTGCTTTCTTTCAGCAACCTCTCGTCATTTCAATACAAATGCTGAGAAAATCCTACTACCAAAAAGGACATTAGGGAAAGCGACTTTAAAAAAAAATTCTATTAGGTTGCCTACACCTTGTTATTAAATATTATTTCTTATTCTTTAAGAACTTTTACTTCTAGTAAAGGAAAGAGTAACGTTAAAATTTATGTTAATTACAAATCCACCAGCTAAAGCATTTTATGAATGACTCTATTTCTGGTCCAGAAGTCTTCTGTGGTATCCAGCTTTGACTGAAAAGACTTACACATTTAAAAGTAAAACTTAAACATCCTTGGAACTCCAGGAAAGAAATCATCAAATTAATTTACTGAGAAAGCCACCACTTCCTAGGCTTACTTCATTTACAAACATCAGCAATGTACCTCCTGTTAAGTCCTAAAAAGAAATTTTTTGTTGCTGTCATTAAATGTAAGTAGCAGAGTGATCTAACTTTACTTTCAAGAATATCATAAAGTTTGCTCTTTTGGAAATTAGAAAATATATCTAATAACTCTAATTTTAGTAGAAGCCAAAAAGAATAAAAGATGAGGAAAAAAGAAAACAGTAATAAATCTTTATTGAGTTTTTTTAACAAAATAATTTAAAAAAACCCACATGTAAACAATAAAGTAAATAAAGTTAGATGGCATTATTATATACATCCAAGAATCGAGACTTGTTCTAGGTTAGCATTCCATAATCCAGTACAATGTTCCACTTATCACTGCTCAGGGCCATTAGGAATTATTTAAGACTATCAACAATGAATCGCAATTTTAAAAGATAAAATGGTCTATGAATTCTCAACTAAAGAGCTTAGTTTTTTACCTCCCCTATCAATTTAGATGCTACATGTAAACTTGTCCTAAAACGTATTTGACTTTGTCAACATTAGTAAAAAATGTCCATTATTTCAAATAATCAGGTTACATATATTTGATCTCCTCCAAGAATGTTTTAGAACTCATGTGTCACAACAGTATGATCTCTCAAAGTGAGCCCTATTTTATTTCTAACTAATGTAGCACTCCATTTTTTTCTTGCCCTCTCTCTACATAAAACACTGTATTTTAACTAAAATACACTGCGAACACAGTAATACACATTCAGGCAGTAATTTCTGACAAAACTGTGGTTTATTTACCAAAAAAATGTTAAACTTTTACTTTAAAAATTTAGGTCATGTACTCTCATAGTTGTAGTACTCAAAAATAATCTCTTCAATTTAGAGTTCAATATATGACTTAATGCAATTCTAAATTAAACAGAAATTAACTTGCAGTTTATATGGAGAAAAATCTTAGTTCTTGGAAGAAAGATCAAAATATACTGTTTTATTACAATAAACGTTATTAGTTCAGTCTTTTTCTTGCTAATTAAATTCAATTCACTTCTATAAGATGGACAAAACAACCCCAATAATTGTTGCAAGTTATCTCAATTTTTGTTTAAAACTAATTCTTTTCTGTCAGTTAAAGTAATTTAAATATGTGCACAATATGTTTGTGCTATGTAAGGCATGTGCCAAGCACATTTTGAAAGGTAATAACTTACCAAGTAGAATGTTCTCCCAAAGGAAAAAAAGGAAAAGCTAATGACAGTTTTTAAGACAGATGTTTAAATAGCACTCTTCTTTTAGATCATTTAAAAATAATTTGGCAATTCACCTGCCTATGGTCATAAAACATAATTGTTTACAAAGGCTAAGCAACAGATACAGAATCAGTGATATGCTTTTATTATCTTTACAAGTCTTCTTCAGTTGTTGCCTAGTGGCATTTAACAAGAATTTTGTATTCACTATGAAAAGATTTAGAACATGAACTGACACTAAATAATAGATATAATTTTTCTATGCCATGCAGAAAAGAAGTCAACTTTTTACACATCACACTTCTAAATAGTTCTAATTAAAATTCAAACTGTTTCCATTTTTATATCTTTGTCATTCTTTGGCAAAAGATTCAAAATAGCCACAGGAAAGGAAACAACTGTTCATTTATGGTCTTCATTTTTCCAAAATAAATGTGTTTTGTAAAAGGGATCTGCACCGTGCTTCCTTTATGCTAAATAATTATAAGTAAGCAAAACTACAATGACTTTTCTGACTAATCTACTCCTAAGGCTTTGAGTTGCCGTTCAATCTCTTCATCGGAGATTGAAGCCTTTGAAGTAGAGGCAGATGGTAAGCTTCGGGCAGCTGAAGGAGCTTTGGCCATCTACAAAAGTAAAGACAGAAACAGACAAAAAAATTGAAAAAAACAAAAACATGCATTAGTAAACACTTTGGCTACACCACAAAGGATATGCCACGAAGTAATTTACTTTTGAAACAAGTATAAAAACATATACAGGACACTAAAGGACAATCTGAAATAATTAGGTGACAGAGAAGATGATATTCGTACCTTTCCAGAGATTTCAATTCCAATTTCATCAAGAACTTGATTTACAATATCTTGGCTTTCTTCTTCATCATCAGAGCCATCAAAGATGTCATCGAGTGTGTCATTGACTTGGGAGAGGAAGGTAGAACAAAGCAGTTACTTTCAAACAGATTTTAAGTTTGATTTATATTTTTAGAGGATAGTATAATAATGTACACTGTTACAGTACAAAAGCCAAATTTGGGTAAACCAACAAATACATTTCAAATGTCAATGAAGCATGTGGACAAATACATTTCTAAGGTACTAAATTTAGAATAATGTTCACTTCAACACACAGTATTCTTTAACAAAATGAGTAGATTCTGATTTTTTTCCTTTAGGGTAAACTCAGTGGTAGAACACTTGCCTATACTTGACTAGCATCTTGTAAGGCCCAAGGTTTGATCCCTAGCACAGAAAAAAATCACCCATTTTGTAAACAAAACCTATGTGATATTCCCAACTGCAGGCATTAGGTATTTAAATTTGATTTCAAAAATTACAACCATTGAGCTGGTAGCTGTTAGACCTAACCAGGAAAAAATGAATCAATTATCCTATTAATATCTGGGAGACAAATTACTCCTTTTATACTTATAATCATGTTTGTACATCTCAAATTTTTATTCAAGATACCAGATTATTTTAATAAAATTAAAGCATTGATATTTTATTAAATTTGCCAAAAAAAAAAAAATGTCTGATTAACCTTGCAAGACTATTACTGCTATAATCCTGTCTTCTTCCCTTCCCTACCTGAAGTACTTATTCAATGCCTTCTGTACACTGGAATCATGTTAATTTGGGTTAAAATTATGTTCAAAGGCCTGGAGTTATATCTTATTTATCTTTGACAGTGGGCACCTAAGTGCCTTGCATGCAGTAAAAATACAATAGAAAAAGAGATGGAAAAAAATGAAGAACTTACTTCATTTTCAGTAGAAAAAAAAATAGAACACATTGTGGTACATAAAATGATAAATGTTCATACAAAGTCTCAGAAGGAAAAGTTTACATTCAGCTAGAAACATGTGACACAGTCCTGGAAGGATGCATATGATTTGACCAGAGATATGGTCTTGGTGAGGCAATAGGGAGGCACACAAGGAATATTAAATTCTTTGTTTGGTTACTTTTTAAGGTACACGAATAGGAAATGCCTAAGAAGGGAAATAATATAAACAGTGGGCCTATAACAGCAACTCCCCTGAGGTGATTACAGAGAAAGACACAGAAGTGACTAAGTCTGATCTTGTAATCATGTTAATAAGTGGGCACCGGGTAAAAGACCAAATGTCTGCTATGGAAATACTCTTTATCCATGGAATGCTCTTGGCAGGGGGTCTTAGTTTAGGACTGCAACAGTAACAAACCTATAACCTATGAATTTAATGAGTCCCTGGTGAATGTCACATAAGGTTAAGTGACTGCTTGAGGAATGAATGCTTTGGAGATATTTCACAACCTAAGTGATCCCTTTAATGGAAGATTATAAGCAGCCTCATGAGACTTGTTATCTAGACCTGTGGATCAGAGATCTTGTGCTGTCCCAGTTATTTCCCTACTTTACCTGTGCATCAGATGTTGCTTGTATTTTTGACATTAGTAAATACTGGTATCAGTAATGACATCTCATTTGTATAAACATGATTTGAAACTCTGATATTTTGTTAGCTCAAATACTATAAATACTAAGTACTAAAATAGTATAATATAAATACTAAATGCTATTGCTAAATACTAATACTAAAATAGAATTAGTATATTATTTAGAAAAGGCTAAAGAGCTTATGGATTAGAAAATAAAATATCATGGAATACAGTCTCTGAAGAAATAAAGTGAAGATTGAGACATGAAAAATAACTCATCTGTGTGTTACCTGGGTAACAATGAAGTAATTAGGGAGGTACAGAGTTCAGGTTAGAGTTTTTAAAGGTCTGAATGAAGAAGTGTTGCCGAAAAAAAATGAAAGGGGACAGTGGAGAACAACGACAGTAGTGGCATCAGAATTATTAAGAGAATCTTTTAAAAAAAGCATAACAAAGCTACAAAAAGATACTGGCAGAATGAAGATTTCCCAAAGATCTTGTTTCCAAAACTTGAATGTGAACAAGTTTGGAATAACATGGCACAATACAAATTTTAATTGGAAAATCTGTGTTCATTTATACTTTATCGTTCATAAAAATTGGTTAGTGTACTTTAAAAAGAACCAGGCAACCATAAGCAACTACTATTATTTAAAACTGATTTGCAGAGTATTAAAAAAAATGAACGATTATGGTAGATATGATACATGTATGATTAAATAAAGGCTTTTTTTTTTTTTTATTTGCAGTACTAGGGATTGAATCCAGGGTCTTCACACTCAGCTAGATCAGAATCCCTCTTTTTATGCTTTATCTTGAAACAGGGTCTCACTAAGTAAGCTAAATTGTCTCAATCGGGTTTAAACTTCTGATTCTCCTGCCTCAGCCTCCCAGAAGCCTTGGACTATAGGGGCATCTGACAATACACTCTGCTAGTTATATTGATTCTTTTTACCATACCTTAATGAAAATGTTAATTTTTCTAAAACCTGCTCACACTTGTGCAATCACTGGAAATCACATAAACTTTAGATACTGTGATCACCATACAAATGTCAGCTATTAAAGGTTGACAATGTTTCAAAAGCTTACAAAAGTCTTTTCAAAGTAAAGCCTTGAAGTAAAAACTAAAGAACTTTCAAAACTGTCAAAGGTGCACATACATACAGTACTATTATATCCCAGAAGAAAATGTTCTCTGAAATAAAATATTAGAGCGATAGTCAATGTGGTAATCATAGCAATTTAAGTATGTACTGTTTTATACACTAAGTGCTATTAAACTAAAATGTTAGCAGATAAGCAGCTAAACTGGTATATCCTTACATAGTTGTAAAACAAATATCTTTGTGAAACAATGATGCAAAATTCTGACATGTAAGAAGTGATTCAATATTGACTGGGGTGGTATGAAGACTCTTTTATCATTGGTGAAACAAGTACTTGTGTGGTTTTTCTGAGACAAATTTGGTAGCAATAAACAAAAGACTTACAAAGCTTAGTTAATACTCAAAGGATATTTAAGAAACACAAGGTAATATATAAACATATTTTAAGAGATAATCAAATACTTTGAAAAAATTTAAATAATCTTATTGATTAATCTAAGAAAGATTTGATAAATTAGGGTATACCAGTAACATGCAATATTAAACTTAAGTCATCTGTAGGAAAATGGATGAACCTTGAAACCATAAGTTACTTGAAACAAATCAGATACACAAACTTAAATACTGTAATTATTTTTAAGAAAAAGACTCAGATAAGATTTAAGGTTATCAGGATATGCTTATATTATACTTTTATGTTTTTGAAAAGCAAGGTAAGATTCACAACGGTATATATAACCTGATCTCTCTTATAGCTATAGGGAAATATAGGAGAGAAAAGTATGTGATCTAAGGGGTTGGGGATTTAGCTCAGTGGCACAGGGCCTGCCTGGCAAGTGCAAGGTCGTGAGTTCGATTCCTGGTAATGGAGAAAAACAAAACAAAACAAAAAGTACATGATCTACATCTGGGGTGTTAAGATAGATGAATTTTAAATGTCCAGCTTATTTTTATTGCACATTTTCCTACCATAACGCGTGATTACAAAAGGAAGAAAACTAAAAATTAAATGATGTGTTGAGAGAAAACAAAAGAGGAACAGCTCCATTTATTCCACCTCGAGTGCAAACAGATCTGCTGCAGGAGGAAAGAGTCAGTACAATTTGGAACTACTTCATTTATATGAGGAAAAACTACTCACTTCTTTCTGGTATGTTTCTGGTATATTAATCAATAAAATAAGACCGTTGAGACCAATATGTAATACAAATATGGCCTAACATTTTAAACTTTTCTTTCAAACAGTACTAGAACTCTGAGCTTTAAATATTGCTGACAGAAGAACACACTGAAGTTATGACCATGAACGTCTGTCTAAAAGCTTGCTCATCATCTCCTGTTTCTTTCTTCTGCCTTCTTCAGAATAGTAAATGAATCTGGCTAACTTAGAGATGAGGAAACTGAATATTTATATTGTGTCTTCTTAAACTTACTCATTTCTTCAGTCATTTCCATTTTCATGTTTTCCTTCTGGAAATTCTGCATTGTTTGTAACGTCTTTTGTGGGTCCATCTTCTTATTCACTGCCTGCATGGTCTTCAAATGTATGAAAAAATTCATGTCAGCTATTGTAAGTTTTTATTATGGGATAAAGCCAGAGGGAACACGTCAAATACAGACAGGATTCTAAAAGCCATATATCCAGTTATAATAAAACATAAAGTTTTAAAGTGTTAAGTACTCTGGAAAAACTACTCATTTACACACCATCTGTTTAACATCTATATCATACAGTCTAGTTTCAAAAGCTAGGCTGAACAGTCTACAAAAATTATATAGCAAAAAACATTATCAACATAAAACTCACCGCTATTCAAGTGAGAAAACTAAATTTATTATGTGGAAACTTGGTAATGAGTAAATTTGGAAGAATTTTTAAATTTTATTAATTTTCACTGCAAAGTTTATATAGAATATAAGTAAAAAGGTTTAGAGGATATACTAGCACACATATATATTCTATTAATATACTTTATACCTTACTTGAACTAAAATATGTGAAAAGAATTCTCTTACATAACTTATTAAAAAAGATTAATATGTTTTAGTATGACCAAAATTTACATGTATATGATGCATTATATCCACATGATGAAACACATGTATGTATTTACAGTTAATTTGATAGAATAGAAAATATACTTCACACAATCTATGTGCATAGTGTGGTTGAACTTTTAACAAATGACTTAAATCTAAAATGTTTGCCACCAGTCTCATGTGTTCTTTGGGAAGGTGACTGGACCATGGGGGTGCTATAATTATCAATGGACTAATCCACTGATGAGTTCACAAGAATGTGCTGTTAGGAGGTGGCTGGAGGGGTGGGTCACTGGGAGTAGGACCTCGAAGTGGGTATTCTTGATTTAAGGTCCACTTCTTTCTGCTTCCCAGCTACCGGCTGTGGTGGGTGAGCAGCCTTCCTCCACCACTCCCTTCTTGCCTTGAAGCCAGCCGACCATGGACAGACTCTCCCAAAACTGTGAGCCAAATTAAATCTCACTCCTTTAAGTTGCAGGTGTCAGATATTGTGTTTCATCAGTGAGAAAGCCAACATACATCCAAATCCCCTAATTCTCCAGTGCCTTTCCGTTGCTCTAGTATTAAAAGACAAATTCTATAATTTGCCTATGAGATGTAGTATCAACTAAAATCTTTAAAAGGCAGCGTCATCTGGCATTATTCCCCACTAAGCACACTGATTTTATTTCCTCACCTGTCATCTATGTCCTAGTCTCTTACCTGGAGTGCTCCTCTCTACCTGCTTTCACTACCAGTACTTCAGATTTTAGTTTATATACTATTTCTTAGGGAAGGAGCCTGATACCACAGATTAGAATAAACACTTTTTATATATCCCATCACTACAAATGAAAATTTACGTTTGTTTCAAATTAAATTGCTTTAACTGCAACTTATACTATCTAATAATACTAATAACAACTCACTATGTAGGCTAGAGTGGTCTCAAACTCAGTGAGCCTCTGGCCTTACCCTCCTGAATGCTGGGATTATGGGCATGTGCCACCAAGCCCACCTTCTTTGTAAATTTTTCAGAGGTTCAGAGCTAAGAGCTTGCCTTGAGTCTCAAAGGAGATTTTGGAAATTGCACTTTTCAAACTGCTAATACTTACGACTTTGATGACTCTTAGAGACAGACTAAATGCATTCTGCATGAGATGAACATGAGTCTTTCAGGCATTAGGGGTGGAATGTTTGGATCTGGGGATTTCCCCCCAAAAGCTGCATGTAACTGCTATGTTCACAGTTAACTTGCTGTTAGGAGGTAGGGCATGAACAGCTTCCTCCACCCAGGCACTTCATGTTATTTTTCCCTTGAAGACTACAAACCATGGATTGCAACTGCTGAAACTTGAACCAAAAATAAAGCTCTCCTCCTTTAAGTTGTGGATGTCAGGCAATGTGTCTTCACAATGAGACAGTTAATACAACTACTATTTTTCAAATACTTCTCTCTATGGATTTTTTTCCTTTTGCTTTTTATATTCATATTTATCTTTCTTATGTCTAGCACTTAGTGATACTGTTAAGACCAAAGTCTACAAATTCTTTCTGATCACCTATTCCAAGATCTGTGCAGTTCAATGAGCTTAGCACAGACTGATGTACAGCAGTTAGTTTCTCATTCAGATCTATGTTAAGCTACCCTCTTACATTGACGTGTAAAAATGTGTGTAAGTAAGGCCTTTATTTTAAACCCCTCTATACCAAAATATATGGTGTACATTAAAGAATACATTATTTATTAATTGAATGAAAGGCACAGATTACTCTAAATTCTATGGTAAAAACACTAAAGAGAGGAAGAAGAGATGGTAAGTTAACACAGATTCCTACAGATGTTACATGATACTTTTGAAAATATTTATGTCCTTCTGACACATAAATACAAGTGAATCACTTATGAGAAATTACTCATAAATAATCAGATATAATAACTTAATAAAACAAGCCTAAAACTCATGTGAGAATTTACAGAAAACGAAAACATGGTTTTAAGTCAATTTTGTAAACTCAGATGCTACATGTGACCTTGGGAAAATGAAAATATTCTTATTCTATACTAAAACATACCAACAGAGAATCTAGACACAATTACCTAGGCTACCTAGTATTATAAGTCATTTTACTAAAACTTAAGATTCTGTACCACATATTTACTAGAAAGTACTTTTAAATCTAATCCATGAATAGTTCCCAGTTAAGCATCTTTCACAAGGTGATAAAACCGGAAAACAGGCCCTCACTTACCTTTGCTGTGGTAGACATTGCTCCAGCCATCTTCATCTGAGAATTCATCACCTTCGTTTGTGTAGACATAGAAGTCACCTTTGAACTTACTGCAAAAGTTCTTGTTTTCTGTTTCCGTAGATGTACGAGCTGTTTGGCCAAAACCCTACAAGCTTCTTTGTTACCAATCTTGGCCATTTTCTTAATTTCTAATTCCTAAGAGAAAAAATAAGAAAGAGGAATAAAATTATTGAGAGTTCTCAATAATGTATTTCTGAAGAACAAATCTAATATATAAATAAAATACGTATTTTCCACTTCAAAGAGACTACTATAAAGTCATAGAGAAAGTCACTGAAGAAGGCTGTTTATTCCACATGTTCACTGGAAAACAAGTAACTAACACTGTCATCCAGGAGTACAGTAAGCCCCAGCTTAGGAAGGAATTCTGTTCTGAGAAAGCATTCATAAATCAGATTTATTTGTAACCCAAAAAAGTGAGATTTATACAGAGCACACCTGTGAATCCTCTACACTACCTCTATGAAAGTTCACAACTAGAATGTTCATGAGTCAGGGACTTACCATGTAAAGTAAGTGTACAATACAGTACATACACAGATCCCAGAATAGAATTTTTTTAAAAATCCAAAAAGGTATGAAAGAGAGTCAATGGGACAGAGCAAATAAAGAGAAAGGTGGCAGATTTAAAAGCAGTAATATAGATAATTACAGGACATTTCATGAAATGGTCCATCTTATACCTCAATTAAAAGTGAAACTGTCAGATTAGCTAAAAATACCAACCAACTATGCTAGCTCAAGATACCAACATTAAACACAAAAGCAAAGCTGTATATAAAGCAGAAACATATATATATATATATATATATTTTTTAAACACATCTACAAATCCAGAGTGGGTACAATAATACCAGATCAAACATAACTTGTGAACAAGGACTATTACCAGAAATAAAAAGGAGTATTTCATAATGATAAAGGAACCAATGCACAAAGATATAAAGATAATCCTAAATGTATTTATGTACAAAAACTAAAAGTCTTTCAAATTGCATGAGCACAACTCACAGAACTGAAAAGAGAACAGACAAACACACAATTAGCAGGAGTGGAATTGATGACTTCTCTCTTAAGAATACTGCTACAACTGTTATAAGTACAGTAGTCTCCTTTTATCCACAAGAGAGATGCCCCAAGACATGTACGTATGTGTGTGTGTGTGTGTGTGTGTATATATATATATATATATAGTATTTTTTCTTATACTATACATACATACCTATGACAAACTATTACCTTTTTACTTAAAGATGAACTTATGGTTTTTTTCATCATATATAAATTGCCAGCATCCTTATTCCTGTGGTTTGAGTCCATTATTAAGTAAAATAAGAGTTATTTGAACACAAGGAATGAAATACTGTGATAATACATTTGTTGACCCAAATGGCTACTAAGTGACCAACAGGTGTATACAGTGTAGATACGCCAGAAAAAGAGATGATTCAATTTCCTGGTAGGACAGAGCTGAACAGCATGAGATTTCATTACACTGCTTAGAATGGTGTACAATTTAAAATTTATGAATTGTGTATTTCTGAAATTTCCCATTTAATATTTTCAGATCAGTTAGTTAATCATGGGTTAAGAAACTGTGGAAAGTAAAACCATGGATAAAAGCACTACTATAGCCGAAAAAATCTGTAATGATATAGAAAACTTTAAAAAATACTATCAACAAATTAACCTAATTTTTAGAAGAAATTCTATCACTAACAGTAGGATATATATATTTAGAAAAATTTTTATCACTAGCAGTAGAACATATATCCTTTGTAAATATACACTAGACAATGACAATCACCAAAATACTCCATATTCTGCATCAGAAACAAGGCTCAATACATTTAAGAGTATTAAAATCATACAAATTATGCTCCCTAACCTCAATGAAACTAAACTGTAAATTAATAATGAAAATGTAAAACGATAATCACAAGTAAGCAGAAATTTAAAAATATCTTTCCATGTAAGATATGGTTTTAAAAAGCAGAGAAAATGAGATAGTATTTTGAACTGAATAAAATGAAAATGCAACATATAAAAATGTGTGAGTTGCTGTTAAAATAGTTCTTAGGAAAGAACATTTGAGGGGCTGGGGATTTAGCTCAGCGGCAAAGCGCCTGTCTGGCAAGCGCAAGGTCGTGAGTTCGGTTCCTGGTACAGGAGAAAAACCAAAAAAAAAATCGTGAGTTTGGTTCCTGGTACCGGAGAAAACCCAAAAAAAAAAAGAAAGAACATTTGAAAGTTCATATTAAAAAAAAATGAATACCTCAGAAACTTTAACATAAAGTAGAAAAGCAAATTCAACACAAGATAAGCAAAAAAAAGGAAATTACATAAACAAAGAAAGTTATAAAGTAGGAAAGAAAAATCAGTACAAAAAATCAGTGAAATCAAAGTTTTTTTTAACATACCAATCAAACATATCTATTCCAATAGGTATAATGATGAAGGAAAAAAAACCACGGCGGAGAAAGAACACATACATTACACATACTGCGAAGGAAAAGAAGGGCCTCACTTTCTGTATTAAAGATGCTAAAAACATAATAAGGGAACATTATATTTTAAAATTTAGTAGCAATTGACAAATTGCTTAACATCCTCAAAATACCAAAGTTCATTCAGCATGGCAGATAACCTAATCACTATTTTTTAAAAGGTTATAGTTTAAAAACATATCTACAAAGAAAATTTTCACTCACAGAATGAATCCATTTAAGAAAGTATATACAAATATTCCTAGAAAAAAAGAGTGAAGGACACTTGTGAAGTCATGTTGTAAAGCCAATAATTATTATGCTAAATTTGCAATAAAAAATACTACCCAAGAAGAAAAAGAATCATTTTCTTTCATAAATATAGATACAATAGTCTTTTAAAAATTTCAGCAAAATATGTCTTTATTCCTGATAAAAACTAGCAAATCATGAAGTTAGGAACTTCCACAACCTGGAAAATGGCATGTACAGAAAGTCTATAATTTATGTACTTCATTAAAAATGACCGAACCCCCCCTTTAGTAAAAAGATAAGAGCATCTGTTCATAGCACTTCTATTCAGCTCTGCACAGGCCAGTGGCAGCAAACCTGCAGTGTATGTGCCGCAGAGGACACACAGAGCCCTCTCTGTCACACAGGAGCCATGTCGCCCTGCACTGTCCCAGCACCACAGCACTGGATCAAAAAGCTCAGTGCTGCCTATTTGTGATAAATAAGTGGGTTTTGGGTTGCAGTTTGGGCACTCAGTCTCTAAAGGTCCGCATCATGGGTACGGGAGTGTTAGCTAGTTTAAAAAGTTAGGGGAAAAAAGTTACAAATTGTAAAGATGTAAAGGTTTATTTATTCGTGATGACATGATTATGTAAAAGTCACATGCAATCTACAAAAAGGCTAGAAGAGTAGTAAGTTTAGGAAGGTTACAGGATTCAAGATAATCATACAAAAATTTAGTGTATCTATATATACCAGCCAAAAAACTCAGAATTGACTTTCTTCTTAAAATGACATTTAGAATAAACAATATTAAATTAAATATTTAGGGTAAGTACGACAAAGGAAGTACGAGACTTACATACTTACAAGAACAAAACATGGCTCAGAAAAATTAAATAAGACCTAAGTAAATGAATATAGGGCCAAGGATTTAGCTCTGTGGCCTAAGCACCTGCCTGGCAAGTGCAAGGTCCTGAGTTTGATTCCCGGTACCAGAAAAACCCAAAAAATAAGAACAAAAAAGTAAATGAATACGTATGTTCATAGATTGGAAGACACTGTCAAGATGTAAATTCTTCTCAAATGGTTTACATATATAATGTAAAATCTAAATCAAAATCTAACTTTTGGTGGAAGTTGATAGGCTTACTCCAAAGAAGCACATATGAAAAGAATCTAAACTAGCCTGAACAATTACGGAAAAAAATATAAAATTGGATAATTAAAATTTTTTAACCCTTAAGATTTATAATGAATGAATTATAGTAAAAGCAGTTTGATATTAGGTTAAGAATAGTGAAATAGATCAATGAAATAGTGTGGACCTCAGAAAATATGCCTATACACACTGGACAACTGATTTTCCACAAAAATGAGGCGGTGTCAATAACAAATTATGTTGGAACAACTTAATTTCAATATGTGAAAATGAAGCTGTTTCCTGATTTGATACCATGTTAAAACTTCAATATGGTTCACAGTTATTTCTTTTTTTTTTTTTTTTTTTTTTTTTTTTGGTTCACGTTTTACATGTAAGAGCTAAGAGTAGAATTTCTAAAAAAAACAAAACAAAAGAAAAAAATATTTGTGACTTTGGGTTACACTACGATTTCTGAGGGCACTAAAAATACTAGCAACAGAAGAAAAAGTACTAATAAACTTACACCATATAAAAGTTTCAAAAATTTAATTAACAAAAGAAAAAATTCCCTTCTCAAAAAAATAAAACTTAAAAAAGTAAAAGACAAAGCCAAGAATTTGGAAAGGATATTTGCAAAACACATACTAGTACATAATAAAGCACCTACTTCCACAATATATAAAGAACTACTTCAATAAAACAGGTTGATGAAACATATGGATAAAATATTTAAATATGCACTTTTGCCAAGAAGGTATGTACATGGCAAATAGTTATATGAAATTAGTTATTTGGGAAATGTAATTTAAAATGACAATCTACTAAACATCCAACATAATGACTCCAATGAAATAATGAACTCCAAGTATGTAGAACAATTATAATTCTCATACATTGCTATTGGAAAAAGTAAACACTACAGATACTTTAAAAATTGCTTAGCATCTGTTTATATGATTAAATATAGGCTTACTCTCTGACCAAGTAATCTCACTCTTAGGAATTATTCAAAAGAAATGAAAATGTGCTTGCATGAAAACTTCATCTGAATGTATGTAGCAATATTTTTTTCAAAATAATCAAAAACCAGAACTCAAATGTCCTCTGGTCAGAAAATGGGTAAACTGTGAACATGCACAGAACAGAATAACATCCATAAACAAAAAGTAATTAATATGATACAAGTAACCGCAAAATAATTATGCTAAAAGAAGTTAAATAAGGAAAAGTTCATATATGACTCCTGTAATGGTCTAAATTTATTGAGGGTTTGAGCATCAGCACATTAATTTTCAGAGATGGGGTCTAAAACGAGAACTGGTTCATGAAGGCCCTGACTTCACTGATTTAATCCATGGGTGAGCTCACAGCTTGAATGGGTTAGAGGGAACCCAGCTGGAGACTGCAGGTCAATCAGGGTGTATCTGAAGAGATACCCTGTCTCTGCTTCTTTTCCCCTTCCCAGAAATGAGCTTCATGGCTACACTGAGGTGAGCAGGTTTCCTCCACTACTGCCTGTCTATCATGTTTCTTACTTTGCGCTGGCTGACCACAAACTAAAATCTTCCTCCTTTCAGTTGTATGCATGATGTATTTTGTCCCAGCAATGAAAAGTTCACTAGCACAATTCCATTTTCATGGAATTCTAGGAAAATAAACTCATCTACAGTGATAAGTCAGTTTTTGACTCACTGATAAAACGGGAGACAGGGAAGGATAGTAGGAAGGATTTAAAAAAGTATTAAGAAAAGTTTTGGGGATGATGACTATGTTTATTACCTTAACTACAGTAGACTTCAAGTATTTATTTGTACATTTCAGTATGTACAATTTATTGCAGTCAATTGGACCTCAATAATTCTGCTTTATAGAAGATTTGAGGCAACATATTAAAAATAGCATAAGGAATATTTAGGATGGACCAGGTCAGCCTATTAAAACAAATTCACTGTCAAAGACACAATGAACTTTAAAATATCAAGTAAGATACCTAAGAGTTAACATAATTTTTTTTATACCTCTCTCTTGGCTTTGCAGGACTATTTTATGTTTGCTATAAACTAAGGAAGTAGTTTTAAGAAATACTTCTTCATAAACATTGATGATTTTTAAAATCAGGAATAATTTGATTATATAATCAGCAAAATACACAGAATTCTGATAAAAGTCAGCATAGAGTCTTCCGGCTGGCTAGCTTCCTGCCTGGTGGCTCCC